GTTTTTCAAGGGTAGTGTAAATGGGATGAGAGGCTATCCAGACACATAAGTTCCTGAATGTTATGGACGCCACTATTTTTTTTACACAATTCCCGCCTTGAGAGTTGCAGTATCATGGACAACCGATAGTAGGCAAGGAAGCATGTTAGTGTGACTGGTGGTAAGAACCAAGCTCAGCACGGTTAACTGATCCAAGCTCGGTCTGAACTCGCCACGGATCGATTTCATAGGGCTAGTGTAAATGGGGCAAATGTTAAGAGCTGAACAAAAGAAGTGAACGGGTTTTATGAGGCGCTCACTTGTCTTTGTCATTGTCCTCGTGTTTGGTGAGGCTGCAGAGCTGCAGGGTGTCCAGCTGCTGAGTGACCTCCTCGGCCCAGCGACAGTTCACCAGCTCCCTCAGCTGCAGCGGAGCGCTGTGGCACAACAAAAAGCACATCCGATTAGATCTTAAAACATAATCCACAACTGAGGCATGTGAAGAAATGTTACATTAAGCTCATGTAAATTAAACCCTGAAGCTGGTTCAAGCATAAAATAGTTTAAACGTAAGATGACAGTTTTTTCAGCCAAATACAGCTGGAATACTCACAGTACAAAAAAACGTTTGCTGGATTTTTCCAAGTGCATCTTTATAAATAAGATGGCTTCCCCCCCGTTATTCTGCTTATTCTTACACATTTTCTTCTCATTATTCACTAAATAAAACTATTTTTGGTGTCCTTTAAGGAATTTCTGCCAGATATATTTTCTACACACTGTTTGGATCCTGGCAGAATAAACATCTGGACTTCCTTAAATATAAAAATGTTCAATTGTGTCAAATATAATATAACATATGCAAACGCTGTTAAAGGAATCATTTAATGAATGTTTACCACTGCAACATTCAATAGTTTTGGTTCCTATAGCTCTCTTTCCTGGGGTTGGGGCTTGTTTTTTTTTCTTACAAAATTATTTTTATAAAAATATTGCACTGTTATCTTAAGGTGGAGATAAAGGACTTAAATAAAAAGAAAAATCTGAAAGTGAGAATCTATGAGTAGATATTAGGGTGAAACATTCTTACCGACAGTGTGGACACTGTGCTCTCTGCTCCGTCAGCCATCGCTGTCAAACAAGAGACCCAAGCTTAAAATGAAAATCATGGATCACCTTTTTCATAACTGCTTTTTGTACAGACTATTCTGTTTTATTATCTTGTCTATAACAAACATTGTTGTTCCCAATTAACAGTTACATAACTTGTTTTGCTCACAGCAGATTCAAGTAGGGAGCTTTGCAGGAAAAACAGCCCAGTTCCTGCCCCTTGGAGCCACACTCACCCGTATGCAGCTGAAGCAGCAGAGTTTGGAGCAGTGCGGGCACAGGCGAGCATCCCTCAGTTTCTCCATGCAGATGAAGCAACGAAACACCTCGGCGATGCTCTGCAAAGAGACAGAGGATGAATCCAACACCAACTGCAGCAGCAGGGCCAACTTCTTGGACACGTATTTAAATGTCATTGAAATAGAAATGAAAACAAATCAATTGACTGTACAGTTTGGACGATACAGAAAGGGCATATAAATACACACCTCTACACTTTGCTCGTCCATTTCAGCCAGTTTGAGATTGTTGGGCTTAATTAGGTTTAAAACAGGACTTCTGCAATAAAAAAAACACATTCCTTTAGTTCTAAGTACAAGCAAATGTGACTCAGCTGTGATTTGATGGCTTTAAGGACTTCATGTGGAGAAAAAACATACAATATTTAACTAACAGAGGCAAAACAAGTCAAAACATTTCAGTTAATAGTACTGTCCGAAACAAGAAGCACATCCCTGCTGTTGTTACATGATTTAATGTTTGACCATCATGACAAAAGTAGAAGTTTGGATCATTTTTTTGATCTGCTGTATAGAAGTAGGTTAAAACAACCCCTGAATTGGATGACATTCACAACAATAAATGTGTTTTTTAGGAGGTACTGTATGGATTAGAAAGACCTTTCACAAGGGGAAAACTGCTCCTCTTCCCAGGAGTTTACATCACAGCAAATTAACACCGACCGTAAAACGCTCGAGAAAAGGCTGAAATCTCTACAAGGCTCAGATTGGGTCCATCAAAAGGCAAACTGATAAAGGATGAACAAAAAGGACTTTTTTAGGAAGGTTGAAGAAGAAAACTTTTTTTTAAACGAAGAAGTAGAATTATCTTGGTTTTCAAAAAGTCTTTTAGGAAGATAAGTTCAAAATACTGAAGGTTTGCAATAAAGCGCAGCTCCATAAGCATTAGCACAAACACCTCATAGCAACTTTCAAGCACAGTGATGGACATGTGATGATGTGGGCTTGTTTGGCTGCATAGGACTTAAAGATATAGTAGAGAATTTTCTTTTTCCGGGTGGATCATCTCAATAAATGGTCCTCCTTATTGTCAATCATTCTGGTGATATGTTTACGTAAGGCCGTTCGACATGCTCGTCCCGTCAGCTATCTTTTTTCTGCGCATGCGAACTTTCAGGTGAATATCTGTGGTGAGCTATGGTTTCAGACAGTCATTGAAGGTCACCTTTCTCACAGCGGTTCTTTGAAAATGAAAAAAATATATCCAGGAATACTTTGCGCAGAGAGCTCTCCCCTCGCCAAGCATTATGGGATTTGCTGTCACAGCGACCCGACTAATAACAAATATGGCACCGCGCAGTGGACGGGTTACCAACGGGAAGCAAAAAGGAGTGATCATCTCTCCAAACGGTCAGTTAACTGAGTTCACCATAGAGTTCACTATATAGTTCCCGCTCTATATAGTGATTGAGAGATTTAGGGGTTATGATGGACTTTCAGGTACTATCAGCTTGTATGAGCTATGAGAACAGCAACTTTTAAACAGGGTGTGCACGAGGAGAAATGGGCTCTTGCACACTTTCCCTATCGGGAGTGAGTCCAGGGTTGTGCATGTGTATTTTTTTTTTAAGTGGAGAGGGTGGGTCTAAAGAAATCTGTGAAAACCCTCCATTACACCTTTAGGTAGAAGCTACTTAAAGGTGTAGGTCTACTTCTACTTACTAGGAACTGCTCTTTATACCTCTTTAAACCTGAAATATATAGAGCAGTTTAATATTAACAAACCATTCAGCACATATGTGTGTGTTTTTTTATATAATTGTCTCTGAAACTTGTTTTTAAAATACATATTCTGTGGTTCCTTGAGACATCCTCCTGGAATTGTGAATATCAGATTTATTTTTTTTGTTTCCTACCATGTATTTCTGGCCAGGGCTAAGCCTCCAATTTACAAACGTCTTAACAACGCATCTGGCTTTGATCATTTAAGCTCTAACCGTCAAATAGGTTATTTTAACCCTGCTATGTTAGTAGGTCATATGATAATATTTGCATTAGTAGAGTAAATAATCACAGAGAACGGCTCAGGTTTTATTTATACTATGATCGTGTATCATGATAAAGATAATGAAAATAAAAAAAGTTAAATAATAATGTCAAATCTGACATATATATACACACATCTATAGCTTTTCCTCACCACTGCAGTTATTATAAACGACATTTGCTGCTGCTGCTGCTTTTAGCATAAAGGGGCCCAGCATGTCGGAAAACAATGCTGCAAATAAAACTCAACAGAAACCGGACTATTTAATCCCGACCCTCTAAAGAAAAAACAGGAGATATTATTTCCTCCCTCGGAGCAGTGAAGCCATCATGTAGCAGCCTTTAGCAGGAGGGGCTGCCTCACCTCTTCGGAGACTCCTCCTCGGCTCCGTTTGCTTCACCTGATCAACAAACCGCCACCAACAGATGCATCATATCACATCGTCTCCATCAGTAAATCATTGTCAACCGAAAGGATCGCGTCTGAAAGCAACAGGATAAGTTAATAAAGACGCAGCGTTTGGGTTTACTGTTGAAAAAAATCCCACTTTCTGGGCCAAACTGGAGATGTAGCGGTTTGAACTGTCCCTTAGCGATCACCTTCTTCTGTGGATTAACGCCACTGTCACCCTTCCTCTGTGACTTATTAGCGCCCCCTGTTGACTAGTGTGTTTCACTACAATATTTTTTTGTAAGAAATCATTAGAAAAGCAAATTTAAACAGTTAAAAGGCAATTCAAAAAACATACTGTTCTTTACGATGAGACTTGTTTGTCAGATTCAATTGAAAATGTAAAGAATAACAACATTTGGAAGAGAAGCAAATTAGATTAGTTGGGAAATTCAGTTGTACTGACAACTAAGTGACAAATAAAATAAAGGTATGCAAATTCACACAAAGGTAAAAATATAAAAAGTTAAATACAATGAAGCAATAGTATATTAAGGCCAAAGTTACCACATAAGGAAAATAAAAATTGTGTTCAGTTATTTAAATGACCATAGTAGCATACATTATTATTATTATTTTTATTTTTTTTTTGCAAATTAGAATAATTGATGGTTTAGATGAGCATCTTGGACATATATATGAAAAGTGCAAACAGTTTTAGAAATAGAACAGTACATACATTCAAGTTAAATAAAGCTCTCTTTTATAAAACTGCAAATTTTAAACAACTTGACATGTTTTAAACATGCACCCTTTCATTCCAGTTGCACTTGTGGCATTTGTTGATTTCTAATTTTTATGTCACCTACCCAATTATACCTTTTTTTGCGTTTAGAGACGGTCATCATTTAATTTTTGACAACAAAGCAAAAGTAAGAAGAAAACTATAAGCGTCAAATGCTTGAACTAGGAATTATTGAGATTCAACAATTGTAGTCTGATTTATTACATTTCTCATGTTGAAGGTTTTGTAGCAAACTTTTATAAAATCCTCCATACCTACATATGTTCTCTGTTTTTCTGTTTATCTCTTCTAGTCGGGCAATGATCAATAAAAACACTCCCTTCTCTGATTTTCTGTAGCAGAGCTGTCTTAGTAATGTTTGCACACTTTTATGTCATATTTTAAAATTAAAGAAACATTTTCTTCATCTTAATAGGCCTCTGTGGACAATTTTTTTTTCTTGACATCGATACAGGCACCAATGGATATTTGTTCTTGATGGTGAAGGTTCTATTCAGACTGCTGTGATAAAGTCGTGTTCTTGAAATAAAACCTGAATCTCTGCTACTCAATATTCCCTATAATCAGGGGCGGATCTAGAGGGGTATCCGGGGGGGGGCATGGTCACCCCTAACCAATAATTGGCTACCCCTGTGGCCACCTTGGATTTAACTCCATACCCTGGAACAAGCAGTTCTCCACTAAGTCTGATGGTGGCAGCAGTGATACCATCATGTGGAATCTCCTACTTTGACATTTTAACGCTGCTATATCTACCAAAAACTGAATATAAAAATGTGGAAAAAATTATTTACAATAATTTACTGCAAATGTGCTGTAGACACATAGCAGTCTTTTCTAAAAAATAAAGAACATCGCTCAACCCATTTAATGTATATATTTTGTGGAAGCATAAATTAATTTAAACAACACTAATGTATAAATATGCACATAGCTTTATCTGCAAGGACCCTAACGAAAATATACTCTGTCTTTAATTATTTATTTGTAAAATATAGATTGTGCAAGTTCATTTTCTTGTTGGCTGATTTTTAATTAGTATAGATTGACCCTAAGATATTTTGGTGCCATATTTTCAGCCACCCATCTGTGCACATTGGCCCCTTCCTGACCACTCATCTCTAAAAATCCTTTAGTAGCCCCTTAGACACCTCTTCATCCATCGTAAGTAAGTTAGATATACCATCAAGATCTGCAAAATTAGATGGAAGTCGGGGGCTTTTGCAGCATTTTTACTAAAACATTGTTAGATTTCAGTTTTATAAAGTAAGACAGGAAAACATGAATAAAGCAGCAGATAAACTTTCACTTGTCTGATACCTTTGAACAGTTTGATCTCTCTGTAAGCTCTTTGCAAAGCAGGCATTTAGCTCCAGGATCAAAACAAGGACATGTGAGGAATTACACTAAATCCTGAGAGCTGCTGTTGTTTAGATACCCTGTAGGTGAATCAAAAGAACATACTAGGCACACTTAGGCTTTTTTTTTTATATATATAATTTTTTATATTTTCCACTTTGTTTATATTTGAATATTGTTTAGTTCTTTTTAAAAGGAAAAGGTGGAAAAGTTTTGAAATAATCCATGGTGTTCTCATTTTTTCCCCACAACACAGTAACAAAGTGTTTTACTAGGGGTGTGTGTCTTTTTAAAATGCAGCCATAAGAAGATATAAAATTCAGCTGCTTTAACTTCAACGATTCAGTTAAAGTGTTAAATCATCTTCAACAGTGAATCAAGGAGTGCTTTTGCCAAAATATCGATGGAATAAATGGAAAGGTACACTGTTGGAGACACATTTTATTGAGACCAATGATGTAAAACAGTAACAAAAGCTAAGCAGAGGACAGCTGTATTAGTTTTTCTTCTCAGTCAAGGGTGTCGAAACCACTTCCATTAGTGGCCCTTGGGCTGATTTTATATGGCCCCCAGGTGGTAAGTGCAGAATGAGACTGTTTATTTTTAATAAGAGCAAAAAATATTACCAACACATTCATATCTTCTTTCAAAATCAGCAGAGTGAAGATATTGATAAGACCAAATCTATAGAGGTTTTTATTCAAAAAGAGTTAACTGCACATAGATCTGCTTCAATGGATTGAAATAGCTTATACTAGACGTCATATTTACAAAAATAGTTGATCACATAAAGAGTGGCTGCCTTAGTTTTGATAAGGCAACTTTGTAAAACACATTTTGAGTTTTTGTCAGGATCTGCTGGTTTGATTATGGTTCATTATGTCTTACCACATAAGTTTCTGATAAAATTTTGCCATTTGGGGTTTGCCATACAGTTTCCGTTTGCCTACTTTTTGTCAGGTGTTTTCTCTTGCATATTTCTAGTGTTTTCCCTCTTTTTATTAGGTAGCTTCTCATAGTTTCCTCTTAGGGTTTTTCCTCGATTACCGTTTCTCAGTCAGAACCCTCAGGTATTCCATTCACCTGTGTTTTAAATAGCCTGACCTCATCACTTGACCCCCTTCATCCTAATTTCTATGTCTCCATGCCTGTTTCCTTATTTTCCTGCTAACATTATTTCATTTAACTCTCAAACTCACCATGCTGCTTCTTAAAATCTGTCTGCATTTAAGTTGTGAACATCAGAACCTGAAAGTTTTAGATCTACAATGTCTTGCCTGAACTTTTCTTAAAAAAAAAAAAAATCTGACAGTTGAAATACTGCATGCTTGGTTTATTTTTGAGCTTGCAGAAAATAAAATCTGTTCTGATTTTAGTGTCTTTTATCTAAACACTATCAAGGCTCCTATAGCAAAGGTTAATATGATATCTAGTTTAAAAAAAAGAAGCAGTTTTTGTTTGAAAAAAGGGTCTTTTTGCAGGATATTAAAATCACACTTCTTTTCTAACAATTAAAGAAGGCTTAAACTAATCCATTTTGTTCAGTTCCCATTCCCAGGTTTTCAAAGCGAGCAGTTTCCAACCTTTTTCTTTAGAAAAAGGGTTGTATGGAAATCAGCATTGACAAGTTTATAGAGATGAGCTGCTCCTCACCATCACTGAGCTATCTCAGTTGGCAGGAATAATACAAACATCACCTTGTTATCCAAAGCACCCCGAGGATTACTCCACTCAGCCCTTTTTGTACGAACACACACACACACACACAGAAATGAACGCTGTATATTTGCAGTAACCCTATTGTTGTTTTATGCAAACGGTCTGAATGAGGATAGGACGCACAGAGGCATATGCAAATCAGCTTATCAGGCGGCGCAGGGTGCACTGCAGAGGTGAACGCTTCTCCACTTAGGAAAATGCCAATGAGCAGCTGTGGATTTCCAAAAGTTTTTATCCCAACACCCTCATCTGCTTGAATAAAGTGAAGATAGAAAGAGGCTCCAAAACTTTTGACCAAAGGTAAGACCCTCTTTGAGAACCAAGCTTATGGATGCTTATGGTTTGTGCAGCAGTTTGGAGGGGAGGGCACATTAGAATAAACTCAAGATCATTTTCCTGGGTGGCCTGAGTGCCTCATTGTCCCTGTTAAGTTACAATCCAGTAGGAAAATCAGCTATATTTATCATTACAGATATTAAGATGAGCTCAGACCCGGTGGAGCAGTCGGAGGCTCCGGCTGAACAGACAGGTAAGGAAATTTCACCTTCAGCAGAGCTGAATCTGGATACCAACACATAGATGTGAGTCAGGAAAGCTGCTTTGTTTGCTGTGAAACTGCTGGAGTTTCTCCACTAAGCAAGTTTGCTCTCCGCTGTTTACAAATCTGAAAATTAAGGTGTGGGTTTGATCTCTTAAACTGGAGACCTGTGTTTGATATTGAGATGTGAAAACAATATATTTTTTTAGATGATCTGCAAGTGTGTGTTTGACCTTTAGGTGTCTTAGGATCTTTACCTATACGATATTTGCAGCATCGTTGCTGTATTTAATGAGCATGAGGCCTGGTTTGTCACAAAAAGTAGAAACATTTAGGTGCTTTGTGAGATTTTGTGTGCAGACAATTTGGCAGTTGGCTTCTGTTCACGCCTGAAGCTATTTTTCTCAATGACACTGAATGCCCACAGGCTGAGGATGCCAACCAGCCTGCCACAATGAAAAACCAGGAAGAAGCAGCATAAAAATGTGGAACTTTTATTTAAAACAATGAACCCATGAGAGAAGTGATCTATCTGTTTCGTGGAAGTGATAAATGTCTTTCTGTTTTTGGTTCGTTTAGACCTTTAAATCAAGTCTCTATACAGGTTTTCTATAGAGTGTCTTCCAGACAAAAGCATAACATAGAAATATCTTAGATGATCCAAAACAAACAAAACCACATGTGCCTCCAAGGCGAGACACTACAGATGGGGGTTTTCTTCATGGTTTGGGTGAGGAGTCACTAGAAGGCAAAAAAAAAAAAACGTTTATCTCAGGTGAATCTCCACCTGCACCTGCTCCCTCCGCAAACTTGCCTCCTAGAAGTTTTGTTTACACACGAGTTGGAGATGAAGCCACCAGCTGCGTTGATGAACCAGTGTGCAAGAAGTTTACTTCTGAAAATATGCATTTCATCAAGTCCATATCTATAGTGCTTTATAGTGTTTTCCCCTTTTAGATCTCAGATTGTTTATTGTACATGTAGCTGTTTCAGATCTACAGATTTTTTTCTATATTACACAATTCTAAAATATATTTTTTAGATGATGATGTAACATATTAAGAGAGATAAGCTATTCAACCAAACTGGCCCTGTGTGGAAAACAGTAATTGGCCCTAGACATCTTGGCCCATTCTTCCTTGCAGAACTGGTTTAATTCATTCAAACTGGAGGCTTTTAGAGCATTAGCAACCTTCTGGGGTCATATCAAAGAATCTCAATTCAGATCAAGCCTGGACCTTGACTACCTCACTTCAAAACCAACATGTTACTCTTTTTTTTAAAGCTGTTTAGAGGTGAACTCGCTGGCGTGCTCTGCATCATTGTTCTGCTTCACAACCCAAGTCTGAATGACATAAGATAATGAAATGCTAGAATTCCGCTCTCCTTCTGGATTTTTTATTTATTTTTTTGGTATATAGCAGAATTCATTCATTCTAGTAAGTTTTCAAGTTTCTGAAGCAGCTCTGTGTTTGCTTGTTCTGATTTAATGGAAGCCAACCAGAACTTTTAGTCAATTAGCTGAGCTGCCAAACTGAACAGTTTCCAGCTGTTTCAGCTAAAAGCCTATCTGTGGTCGTCCTGACCCTGATGTGTAAGAATTAGCGCAATAAGGCTGTCCTGATGTTCTTTTTCTATAATACAATTGAACTTTATTGATCTTACATTGGAAAAATTTACCTCTGCAGTTAACCCATCCCTTGGGGAGCACTGGGCTGCCATCGTGGGGCACCCAGGGAGCAATCAGGGGTTAAGGGTCTTGCTCAGAGACCCAGAGTGGCAGTCTGTGGGAGTGGGGCTTGAACTCAGAACCTCAGGATTCCAAGCTCTATGCCCTAACCACTAGGCCGCCACTCCCCCAAAAAGCTCAGATTAACTTTACACCAGATTTATGGGATATGCAACTTCCTTAAGAGTTTTCTCTTAAAAGAGTTTCCCTAATGGATGTTTTTTTTTTTTTTTTTCAAATGTGAGATTGGATCTTATTTTAAATTTTTTAAATTAAAAATAAGTTTCACTACCATTTTAGGCTTGGGAGGCCTGCAGTTATTTAGATGTTGCTTTGTGTTTTTTAATGACCTTCAGATTGAGTGATGTTGTTGGCTCTTTTGGAGCAATTTTGGTAGCTTCTGTTTGTGGATAATGAGTTTTCAAAGAAAGCCTTTAATAAAACGATGGATGTCAAAGACTCTCTCTTAGGATAAAAACACCACTACATGTTATTAAACAGGTTTAATTTAAATCTATCTAAGCCTTTATCAAAAAAAAAATTTTTCTTATGAGTTAATTCATGACTTAACAATGTGGATGGTTAGTTTTATACAGAGAGCTGAGTTGGGTGGATAGTTTTTCCCCTTTAATAACTTCTGAACAAATCATTTTGAAATTGTTTGTTTATTAATCTGGTTTATCTTTGTTAAATAGATCAAATTTAAATAAAGATTTGAATTATCAGACAGTGACAAATCAAAAACAAAGAAGAAATCTGTACGGTGGCAAATTTTCACAGCTGTTAGAATCTAATTATGGCCTAAAATCATTGCTTTTATTTTTCCTTAGCATGTCTAAACTTGCTCTGAGCGAAATACCTGTTGGACTTTAAGCTGGTTAGCAGTACGACAATAGGCCACCGGACTGAGGCTCCCTGGAGCAAAGTTAAAACCACCAGTTAACGTGCATGTTTTTGAAATGTGGTAGGAAGTGAAACACCCAGAGAAAACCACCACAGCATGAAAATGGCACGCAAGAAAGAAAAGGGAAAAAAGGGAAAAGTTTTAGTGTCACGCGACGCGACAATGTGTGTTATTCATACTCTTAGACCAGGCGGCTGTGGCTTGTATCCAGAACCATGTGCGAGGCGGGTTTATTCAAATAAAATAACCTGGTAGAGTTCAAGTTCTGCTGATTCAGATCATTCAGGAGAATTTTAACAGCATGATTTTTCCACCCTGACTTACAAAGCTGGAATGAATCTAGAACAGCTTTGTTAAGGCATCCCATTTCGAGCACTTCGAAATGTCTTGCTACTGACATATGCTCCGTGAACAAACTTCCTTTGCCTTGATGGTTACAAACTTAAAGTTAAAGTCTAGTGACCCAACAACAAGTATGTCTTTTTATTTTTAATTTAGGTTGACATCGCATTATTTAATTTAAATAGGAATTTTTCAGACAAATTCCAGCTTATTCGTCCGACCAAATTTAGCCTAAACAGTTAATAAAGCTTGTTTGACCAAAGAGGGCCACCTGAAAAATCTTCTTAAATACATTTTTGAAACTGTATCTGTAGATGTCTTTTTTTCTGCAATTTATCCCCCATCTTTTGCATGCTTCACTGAAACTTTTTAAAAACTTTTGTCAAATAAAGTAACCTCTTCTATAGAGTACATTTTCCAAGTGAACCTTTGCATGAGGATCTTTTTTATCCTCAATCATACTGTTGTGATAAAACAGGCATAAAATTCAGACATGGCAACAATATCTGGAAAATAGGGAGTCAAGACTGTGGAGTTGTTCAAGAAATCTACAATTTGTTCAAACGAACAAATGTCTAAAGCTAAATAGTGTTGGCCGACAATTAAAGTTGGTCTGTGTATAAGAGCTGCTTTAGTTTTGACCTGATTTTTCCTAATAGGTATAGATAAATTAAATTAACCATTTACATGTATTTGTTTGATTATGTATTAACAAAGCTAATTGACTATTTTGATTATAATATTTCATATTTAATAAAAAATGTGATATTTCAAATTATTTAATATCCTCAGGTTCATTACAACTTTGTGTTTTTACACAATCAGTTTATGAAATAATTGGGTAAGGTTCAGGACCGAAGTGCAGACAGATGTTCTGAGGAAGCACTGTGAGTTTCAGAATAACAGAGAAAACAGGGAAGAACAAATTGAGGAGTCACAGGTGAACTGAATTTTCCTATTAAAGGAATGCTCTGGCTGAGGGACAAATGATTGAGCATAGATAAACAGGGAAAAACTCAAAGAAGAAACAAAGAGAATGTATCCAAATATATACAGTAATTATGTCAAGAAAAAAATGAATGCAAAAAAAAAACTAAGAAATATACAAGAGAAGTAGAAAGCACCTAGCAAAAAAAAACAACAACAAGAACACAGAACTAGTATGGCAAAAATAACAGTATTTGGGAATTTATAATGGACCAAACAAACTACCGTAAACCTGCACGACCTGACAACTAATAGATAAAATCCAAAAAAATGTTTTTATTGTTATTGCGTAAACATACGATAATCTGATTACAGAAACATTAACTCCCTTACAATGAGGAAAAGTAAAAATTGCTTCAATTTAGAAGTAACTGAATCTAATTTATCACATGGCTTAAATACCCTGGATATGTTTAATCATTTCTAAGGACCTTAATTTGGTTTAATGGAAATAGAAGCCAAAAAAGCCCCTTATTTTATATTGCTCCTATTTTAATATGGAAAAAGGAGGTTTGATTAAGCAATTAATAAACACACAATACACATTAAAGATGCTTTTTTTTTTAGGACCTAATATGGTAAATATGGACATACTGAAGAATATTTAACAGCCTAAAATTGTGATTACCAATAATAAGAAGCTGGATTACTGTAAAACACATCGAAAGTGAGAATCAATTATTGAAAGACTTTACAATATTACTACTTGTTATGTAGGATCTAGAGTGGTAGAGTTGTAGATATGTAGTGCACCTTAATAACCTGTAGAAATGCCTTGTATTTTATTAACTTTAAATGGGTTTACACTGATCTGGAACTACTTTACTGGACCTGTCTGGACAGGACTGAAATAATGAGATTTATTTTCATACTATTTGAGGTGATTGAAGCTATTAATCTTGTAAAGTAGTTTGAAATTAAATTAACTGTGAACTTGCAGTAAAGTAATGAACAAAACTGAGCTCAGTTCAATAGAAAAGAAAAGGGGTTTTTCTTGTTTGAAGGAGCCACTCAGTCCAACTTATTTTT